TCTTGCGGAAAGATTTATTTGGTTGCTGTTCAGAAGGGATAATTTGTATGTAGTGTGAGTTCTGGCACTGATCACTTTACAAAAGTACATTTCCTAGTGTATCAAAAGATAATGAATGAATGAATTGAATGAAAACTCCTTCAACTTTATTGTAAATGTCTAAATGCATTGAAAGCAAACTATAATTAGCAACATTTATCGGGAGTTAGCAAATAGTACAATAACATTACATTTTCAAATATTCAGAACCAAAAAGAATGGATGCTAAAAAAGTAGCTGCCAGGAAAAAAGCCATGTGCTGCAGCTTGGAATTAATTAGGCATTTTAAAGAAGACACAGCTGAAATAAATCACACTTGTATATGAAAACTTGTACCTCTATAAAAGCAACACCCATGATTACAAAAACTGAAAAACTTTAGATAGGAAAAACCCGTATCCATCTCTGTTTTATTCAGTTTTTGTTTTGTATATTTAGTAAGTTTCACTAATTTGCTGATTGATGTTCATTTATACTTCCTGTCCCATACACTAACATAGTACACCTTTAGGCATTGCTTTGCAGAGAGCTGCTGTACATGTTCCCAGGATGTACATGTTCCCAGAGTGTTGTTTACCAGTAAAAACAGCAACAAAGCTTTCACCTCTGAGACAGAATGAGGGAATGCTTTTAAGGGTCCAGATATCTTTGACTCTCCTCAACCAGGACATAAGTCAGCAGGTCTCAAGTAGGTCATATGTACTTATATCATAGCCTCTAGCTATAAAATTAATTGAAAAATCATTACATATGCTTGATCTGTTTTGCTTTAAGAAGTTTAAATGTTCAATAACCTCTGTTATATAGAGAGAGTCCCCTGGCTTAGTCAGCTGTTGTAAGTAGTTAGAAACTACTGTGGGTTCTGACTGAGGATCTAAGCCTGTAATAAATGGGATCCACATAAACTCACTGGATTAATGAAGCTTTCAGAACTTTGGTATTGCAAGATACATGCTAGGGATTCCAGTTTGCTAAAAGGGTATTGGTTAGAGATGCTGGTTACACGTAAAGGTTCCATTTATAAATAGGTTTGAAAGGGTTATTGGGTGATTATGAGATGCTTTGATAAATGGTTAATCAGTTGTTATAGAATGCAACAGGTTAATAGTTACTTGTGCTTTACAACTATTCACTACCTTGCATCTTAAGCTGGAGGGGTGGGGGTGGGGTGTTGTATGGTTGGCTGGCCAGAAGAAGAGAGTGATTTTTGATGATTTGGAAGGAGGTGAGGGAGATGTAAAACTGCTGGAAAAGAGGCCAGCATGGAGGCTAATTCATCACCCAGGAAAGAGCAGTTTTAAAATGTCAGCTGTATTGGGACACTTCCCTCTTGTTCACAGAGCAGAGACAGCAACACCAATCCTCTCTCTGGTGGTAAATATACCAGGTTAATAGCTATTTTTGCAGTTGAAGGGTGTGTGTGGGGGGGGGGGGGGGGCTGGGAAGGTATTTTTCCATTTCCACGATATTGGCCCAGGTGCACTTGGGAGGTTTTTTGCCTTCCTCACAGCAGGTTCAGATGGGCTTTGTTCATGAAGAACATGACAGGCACTAGGCCATATGTCACAATTCATTATTTAGTGGATGTTCAGTGCAGGTACTCCATAAAAGAAGGCATACCGTTATGGATAAATGTCTTGGGGAAAGGTCTTAATGGAGAGGTGCTCAATAATTGAACGATCTAGGGATAGTTGAGGGCTCGTATGATTAGTACAGCATGGAGTCAACTCCCAGCATTATAGTCCACCTTGCCTCTCCTAAGTAGGGATGTGAACAGGTAACTGGTTAACTGTGACTGCAGGTGTAACACTGCTTCAACCCCATGGGAGCTGCTGGCTCCCAGCCTGTGCAGGGGCTGAAAGCGGTAACAGGGAGCTGCCAGCTGCCAACCCATGCATGCTAACGGGTTAGGAGTCAGCAGCCTTGTGTGGGGCTGGAAGCAGCGGCCAGATGGGAGCTGGCAGCCCCTCTGCTTGCCCCCTGTTGCCACCCAGTACAGGATCAAAGCAGCCAGGATGGAGCAGCCCCTGCCTGTGGTGCAGGGACCACTCCAGCCTGCCTGTTCCCATTTAATCAGTTAACCGTTTAAATGTTTAACTGGTTAATTAATTAAATGGGATTTTACATACCTACTTCTAAGAGGAGAGATGATTGGTAAGGTCCCAGCAATGGAGTCCCAGAGTTGCTGGAGGGATCTGGATGTAAAGGAGGGGAGTGGGTAGTGAGTTGGAGCCTGGCCTGGGCTGATAGTAAGGTTCTGGCAATGGATCTGCTGGAGGGATCTAGGTGGAAAATGGTGTGAAGCTACTAAACATACTTTTCCATTGAAAAATTAAGAAAGAGTTGCCAAAACTAAAAACCCCAGTCCCATCAATACCTCTTTTATAGGGCTCTCAGCAATCATTTTAGTACTATCTATGCTTGCTTTGCAGGCTTTGAAGCAGAAATTAAACAGTATTTTCATCACTGCACCATTATGTAGGGAAGTTTAATCCATAAATAAGGAACTAGACAAAAGAAAGCTATATTGTCTTCTGTTATATTAAAAAAGGGGAATGTTTAATATTTTCCAGAGGCTAATGAAGAAAAAATATTTACTTTTAAATAATGTTATTGGGATGTTATAAAACTAAAATACTTTCATAGAGTACTTTACACGTGCAAAGATTTGCACAACCACTAACTTTCTTACCTTATAGGAGTGTTATTACAAACAAAAAATACATAAGATTTTGTGTCCTGTTAATGTTAACAGAAGTTTTAGGGCTAAGTCCCTGCATGTCATACTGAATACCTACTCCAGGATAATCTAAGAGGTCAAGTTCCAAGCTGCTATGAATTATTATAGTTCTATTGATATCAACAACACTGCTGTGATGTACACCAGCTGAGGAAATAACCCCTAGGTAAAATTCTAGCCCCATTAAAGTAAGTGGGAGTAAGACCATTGACTTCAGTGGGGCCAGAGGTTTTACACATAGTCTTTAAATGTTATCAGGAATACAGAAATGTTTTGACACTGTGTCATCAATGGGAGCCTGAAAAAGGACTATTAAAAGAATGAAGTAGCTAAATGAAATACAGTATGTTTTGAAAGTGTTGGAGTTTCCTAATTCTGGTAACAGAATAAATGCCTCTGCTAGCAGTAAGGAGTTAGGTATTCTGTTTTTAAATGCCTTATCTACAATTAATAAAAATGTTTAAATGCTAACAAAAGTAAATGGTTTTGGTGTTTTCCAGAATGTTTTGTAAATTAAAGCACTGTTAACTTTATTACAACATATGCATGTTTTAGGAACTGAAATGTATTTGAGGAGGATTCTACTTTTTGTTTATTTTGTTGGTAATGTGGATTTGGCTATTTATTACATCTATAAATCTGGCTGCTATCTTGTTCCTTGATACAGTGAAAACTAAGGGTACGTCTACACAGAAACGTTATTTTGAAATAACTTCGTCTGGGTCTACACAGGAGGCAATTATTTCAAAATAATGTCAAAATACTGTCAATCTGGAGGACTTCTTACTCCTGTAACCCTCATGGTACGAGGAGTAAGGGAAGTTGGAGGAAGAATGCTCTATTTCAAAATAAGTGCTGTATAGCTGCTCCCAATTCTGAAATAAGCTACACAATTGATGTAGCTCAATTTGCATAACTTATTTTGAGTTAAGTCCTGCTGTGTAGACACACCCTAATTGAGAAAGTTAAGTAGCGATCCAAGCAGGGTTCCCTCTAAGCTGTGTAGTTGCATAGGGTGCACAAAAAAAAAAAAAAAAAAATTCCACCCCACCCACCTCTTCTGCAGAGTTGCACAGTCACTTAGTGGACAGTAGGCTGCTGTTTCAGTGGCTGGGGCCAGAGGAACCACGTGGTGGGCAGCTGGTAGCTGCTCTAGTGTCCAGGACCAAAGGTCCTGTATGCTGTGTGGGGGGCGGCAGAAGGCTGCTTCAGCAGCTGGGGCCACAGGAGCCGCAACCAGTATGGCAGACAGCAGGAGGCTGCTCTGGCAGCTGGGTCCAAGCCACCACACAGGATACTGGGCAGGAGAGCAGCAGGGCAGGTTCCAGGGTCTGAACCAGTGGGGGAGGCAGTGGGGCCAAAAACAGCGGGGCCCAACACAGAATCTGGCTGTCTGAATCTTCTCAGTAGTGACGGATGGCAGAACAAGGAACAATGGTCTCAAGTTACAGTGGGAGAGGTTCAGGTTGGATATTAGGAAAAACTATTTCACTAGGAGGGTGGTGAAGCCCTAGTCCGGGTACAGGTCTCTGGACAGTGGTGCTTGGGCTCTGGGCCGTAGGCCCAGGTACTGGCTGTTTGTGTTTGGGGAACAGATAGTACGGCCCTGGCATATATACTGGTGGCATATGGGTGGGTGGGGGAGCAGATTGCAAGGTTGGGCACAATTAGAGGGCATTGGGGGGGGGTGCTCCCAGACAGCTGTGTATGGTCCTGAGGGAGGCACAAGCAATAGGCACACACAGTGTATGTTGGGGGCCGTGGCCAGTAAGCTGTGTGGTTTTCAGGATGGGTGGGTGCAGGGTCATGCGCCTTGTTAATTATCTGGTTTTAAGTATTTTTTCTTGCATAACAATTTAAATTGTATATGTGTGTGTATGTATACAGCTGCTCCCCAAGTTACGACCATCCGCACTTACAACCAAAGCAGTCGTAAATGCGAATCTGAGTTACGAACAGCACGGTTGCCATGTAACTCTATGGGATCCGAGTTACAAACACTTTGCCATGCCTGCCGCTTTTTTCCGGCTTGGGGATAAGCCGGAGAAAAGCGCCAGTCTAGACGTGATTCTCCGGAAAATAAGCCCTTTTCCGGACGATCTCTTATTCCTACTTTCAGCAGCAGCCATGAAAATGCAAATGCCGTGGGGGATATTTAAATCCCCCGCGGATTTGCCTATTCCCAAATGCTACATTAGCATGCCTATTACGGAATAGGGGCCAATGTAGATGTAGCCTTAGAGTTACGGGCCAAGTGTTGGTCTGTAACTTGTTCGTAACTTGGGGAGCGGCTGTATATGTAATTTTGTTAATAACTGGTGGATGCCACAGTGGCATACATCCAAACAAGTGCACATGATGTCAATATTGGTGCATAAGACAAAACTCACTCCGCTGATGGACGGAAAATCTTAGAGGGAACACTGTATCCAGGGGTCTTTGTACATTTCTTTCTGCTTGAAGAAACAACATTTATGAACAAACAAAAAACTAACATATTGCTGACAATAATGTTAGTAATGGCTTCCACTTAGTTCCCATTTGACTTGTATTGAAAAGAACAATTGGTTGATAGTGTAAGTGAAATTATTTTAGTGCGGTTAGAGAGAGAGAGATCTCACATAATGCACACGTTTCCTGTAGCAATGCTGAAAAGTGTTTGTTGCATCTACACTCACACTGAAAGTGTTTACAAGACTACTTGGATTGGGTTAGGGTGGTGGTAAAAGCTAGGGAGGAGCTGTCACTTGGGGGGCTTTTGTCAACATATGGCCATTTTCCTAAGGTAGTTTATTCCAAATGTGGAACAATGGTCAGTAGTAGTAGTTTGATTGTTTATCATTGTGAAAGAGATGACCCACTACATAGTAATTTGAGGCCACTAAAGCAGAACTTAAAATACTCCAATAACAATTTCACCAATGAAAAATAAGAAGTACAACACAGAAATCAGAAAATATTGGTTTTCAACCTCTGCTTTTTGATGAAGATTGATGCACAGATGAAGTGCAAAAGTAGTTTTTCTTCTTACACAGTATGGTGCTCAACCAATATGAAGTTCCTGTGCATATTTTCCACTTCCTAATGAATTTTAAAGTATATCTTTTGAGCACTTCATTCATAGAAGTATGAGTATTATGCAGATTAACAAGGGGAAAAATCCATCAGAGAGAGAAAAAAAATTGTACAAGTTAGATACAAAACAGTAGTAAATATGTAAAATATAGTTGATAAGCAGAGGTAAGGAATCAGAAATACATGTAATCTGTTTTAAAACTATTCTTTGTAAATATAGCATCGTAGTATTTTCAATGTATTTGACTGTATAGCTATACTGCATAGTAAGATGTCATTACCTTGTAAGATATTGAATGAATAATTACCAAAGCATCAAAAATGTAATCATATTGGAAGACCTGAATCTTCTTTGATACAGAATGATTGAGCTGCGTCTGATAAAACAGTGAGCTAAAATACAGTTTTATGATATACAGTACTTGTCCAAAACCAATATGCTCTTTAAGCACAGATTTCCTGATAATTTCAAACAGTGATATCAAGCCTCTTGAAATTACAGTACAACCAATAACAGCTATTTTGGTTAACCAGACATGGTATATACATTTGTGTGCAGATATCGGGCATTTCACTGTATTCCAGAAAACATGGCTCACCCTGATGTAATCATTCAAAGGTTTCTGAAAAACCATTGAGATCACTACAGTTTATTGATTGATTTATCCATAAAGTATCAGTACTCTATAAAGAATAGATCAAAACTAAACACTCCAAGACATAAAGCTGAATGTTTCAAGTTCACTAAAATATAAAAAGGGCTTCCTTCCTAGGAAAACTCAGCTATGGTAAAAATATCTACTACAGTGCGCTGCACTGTAATAAATATTGATCATAAATTAATAATTTACAAGTACCTGAGCAAGTACATAGAGCACCATAGCACAGCACAGCACCAAAAGCAGTAGCTCAGTTCTTTAAAATGATGTTTTAAAGATTAAAAATTCTAAGTATTGTTTCTTAAACCCACTTCACTTGGAGTTTAAAGATAGTGCAAACTTCTGTCTTCACTTTTTTCAGAAAGATGTCAGATTTTCGTCATTTCACAAAGGCAGTGTTACTGGATCTGGGCACTTGCAGATGTTTAGGTGCAGGTCTGTTTTAAAAAAATGACACATACATAAATGAAAATACCAGAAATTGTTAAACTTCTCTTTTTAATTTTGGCATTGTGATGTGTGGCTTAATTTCATTCAGCAATACAGGGATTTACCCATCTTATCTTTACTTTGCAAAGCAGCAGTACAGAACTTTTTTGTTGGAAAAAGGTAGGCTGTCCAACTTCTTTTGACGCCACCATCAGATCTGCTTTAGTGATAAACAGATTTGTGTTGTGACCTTCGTACGAGTTCTTTCAGCTGTTAAAATATTGCCCTCTGACCAGTGGCACAATTAGGTTTAAATTTTAGATGTGTGTTATAACCTTCCTTAGTTTAGTTTAGGATACTTTATTGCCTTTCAATCCCGTACTGTAGCTACTGGTTCAAAGACATGCGGGTGGCCATCTTGAAGTACTACTCCTGCTTCTTGGGAGTATCCTACTGGAATGCATACTTCAAAATACAGTGTCTAAGAGGAACTCTTCTCCCCTTCCCATGGGGATTCGCCACATGGAAGAGTTACTGGTTAGTTAAAGCTATGCATAACATACAGAATTATTAAGAAAGTAAATTGTTATTTTGGTTTTAATGTCAATTTTCTGAGCAGAGCATCGGACACAGTGCCTTAGGGTAGAACTGCTATTGCTTTCAACTCAATTTTAATTTCTTTGAGATGCTTTTTAATTAATAGAAGATTTAAATGCTAGAGTTAGATGATACAATAATAAAATGGAAATGTGGAAGTCAATGGAGCCTTGTTTATACTAGCTCTCCCACTGGTGCTATCATTGTTGGAGATGAACCAGTGTTAAAACGAGTAATTTCTAGATAAAGGGTGATAAAACTTCCTAATGAAGATAAGATTTAGGAGGCACCCTTTAAAATAGCACACAAAAAAATCAGATGTGTGGAGGAGGTATGGGGCTCAGATGGTTCGGGGAGGAATATCATGAAGATTCTCATTGTACATTTCTTATGTTCAGGGCTAGATGAGTCAAGTTAAAAAAAACCTCCAATCAAATATGAGTTAGTCATCACAAGGAAAAACAAAAAATTGTAATGGAAAAACTTGCAAAGATGTTATAAAAAGAGCATTGGAAGAGACTCTGTTAAACTGCTATCTTTCAAAAAGGTGGCAGTCCTATCTTGCTTAGGTCTAGTTGTCTGCAGCAGTACTATGCTGTCTGAAAAGGCTAGATACAGGATTCTTTGAAGTTGAAAGACACCTCTTTTGTGCTATTGAAAAATGTTCAGAACCTTACTTCAGTGTGTGTTTGTGCTGCAGCACCAATATCACCTTGTTTTTTTCCTGGGGGGAGGGAGGCACAAAATTTGTACATTGTAAAAACAAAAACAAATCTTTCCACACTGTTTTCCATATTAAAAGTAACGAATGCCCTGGATGGGCTCTGATTAAATTACATGTTGCACTGAAACCATAAAGTACTGAATTTTACAAACAATTTTCTGTATCCACAGTATGGCTGATTTATTGAAAATATTGCTATATTTGTTTCAACGTATTTATCTTTTATGTTTTTAGTTTTATTAGTTCTCTGTTTTATTTACCAAGCATTCTTCTCAAGTAATGTAATGAAATCCTTGCATCCTTTGTGATACTAAATTTCAGAATCACTGCCAACTGTATTACTTTCTGGTAATGTTGAAACTGCAAAATAATAGCAAGCTTCCTTACAGGACGTACCTGCCAATATGGCATTACTGATCCAGTAGACTATCACTCAGTGTGCAAAGTTACTGGATGCAATCTTTCATACATTAGATAAAATCATACAGATCGTGCATAAGCAAAGTAAGCTGTCATGGGAAAAGAGGGAAGGCCTTGTCATGGATTGATAACTGATTAAAAGATAGGAAACAAAGGGTAGGAGTAAAAGGTTTTCAGAATGGAGAGAGGTAACTAGTGGTGTCCCCCAGGGTTCTGTACTGGGAGCAGTCCTGTTCAATATATTCATAAAAGATCTAAAAAAAAAGGTAAATAGTGATGTGACAAAATTTGCAGATGATACAAAACTGCTCAAGACAGTTTAGTCCAAAGCAGACTGTGAAGAGCTTCAGAAGGATCTCACAAAACTAAGTGACTGGGCAACAAAATGACAGATGAATTTTAATGTTGATAAATGCAAAGTAATACATATTGAAAAACATAATCCCAACTATATGTATAATATGATGGGGACTAAATAAGCTATTACCATTTGAGAGAGAGTTCTTGGAGTCATTGTGGATAGTTCTCTGAAAACATCCACTCAATGTGCAGCAGTAGTCAAACAAACAGAATGTTAGGAATCATTAAGAAATAATAGAAAAGAAGACAGAAAATCTCTTAATCTCTAAGTGGAGCACTTTACATTTGTCTTTATTAAACTTCATCCTGTTTACCTCAGACCATTTCTCCAATTTGTTCAGATCATTTTGAATTATGACACTATCCTCAAGAGCAGTCGCAACCCCTCTCAGCTTGGTATCATCTGCAAACTTAATAAGCGTACTTTCTATGCCACTATGTAAATTGTTGATGAAGATGTTGAACAGAGCCGGTCCCAAAATTGACCCCTGCGGAACCGCACTTGTTATACCTTTCCAGCAGAATTGTGAACCATTAATAACTACTCTCTGAGCACTGTTATCCAGCCAGTTATGCTCCCAACTTATAGTAGCCCCATCTAAATTGTATTTGCCTAGTTTATTGATAAGAATATCATGCGAGACCGTATCAAACGCCTTACTAACGTCTAGGTATACCACATCCACTGCTTCTCCCTTATCCACAAGACTCATTATCCTATCAAAGAAAGCTGTCAGATTGGTTTGACATGATTTGTTCTTTACAAATCCATTCTGGATGTTCCCTATCACCTTGCCACCTTCCAAGTGTTTACAGATGATTTCCTTAATTATTTGCTCCATTATCTTCCCTGGCACAGAAGTTAAACTAACTCGTCTGTAGTTTCCTGAGTTGTTCTTATTTCCCTTTTTATAAATGGGCACTATATTTGCCCTTTTCCAGTCTTCTGGAATCTCTGCTGTCTCCTATGATTTTCCTAAGATGATAGCTAGAGTCTCAGATACCTCCTCTATCAGCTCCTTGAGTATTCTAGGATACATTTCATCAGGTCCTGGTGACTTGCAGGCATTTAACTTTTCTAGGTGATTTTTAACTTGTTCTTTTTTTATTTTATCTTCTAAACCTCTCCCCTTCCCACTAGCATTCACTATGTTAGGCATTCCTTCAGACTTCTTGGTGAAGACCGAAACAAAGAAGTCATTAAGCATCTCTGCCATTTCCAAGTTTCCTGTTACT